GAAGAAGCTCATAAGGTGTTTTGTTGCCAATTGCGTGAGAGGGAGAGCGAGCGTGAAGATAGACTGCAGTATTTACTGCTTCCGCCCAGAGTTCTGGACTTAGTTTCGAATCCAATAGCATACTTCGGGCTTTAGTAGCAATTGTACGGATCATTCGTTCTGAGACTCCATTTTTGTGTTGAGTACTAGTATATGGTGGTGATGGTTCGAAGGTAATTCCAGATGCTCGTAGGATACCGCGGAAAAGTCGATTTGAGTACTCGCCGCGTCCATTGTCGCAACGAAATCGTGTTACAGCAAACTGTGGAAACCGTTTCTCCAGTTGGGAAAGGAATTCCTGGAAACAACTAGTGACTTCTATAGCTTCCTTAGTGCGTAGAAAAAATACTAAGGTAAACTGAGTATGATCATCGATATACAGTATGAAGTAACGGGCACCAGAACAGGAAGGAGTTGTCAGAGGCCCTGCCATATCAGAATGGATAAGTTCGAAGGGTCGGACAGTTTGTAAAACAGGTTGCCGAATGATTTTTCGTTGCTGCTTTGCCTGGATGCACACCACACAAGAGACAAGTTTCTCTCTATCGGTCTCGTTGAGGTCGGTAAGGGTATTCGCAAGAGTTAGCCTTAGTGATTGAAGATTGAGGTGTGCAAAACGGCGATGCCATAAGTCCCAGGATGCTTTTGTGATTGAAGTTCCTGAGTGTGCCAACTGTGCATAGAGGTGATCAACCAAAAGTGGTGAACCGGAAAGTTTCCAGAGTCCATTCTGAAGTGTTGCTAGCTGACTTGGTGGCATGCTAGCTTTTTGTATGTGACAAACAGAGGAGGTAAAGGTGACAATATACTTGCGGCAAAGCCATCCAACAGAGAGTAGAGAGTATCGAAGCTTGGGAACGTAGAGGGCATCAATCTCAACTATAGCACCACTATGGAGCTTGATGTTAATCTTGCCACGAGCAATACCATGGAGCTCAGTTCCATCTCCAAGATAGACAGGAATAGGAGCTGAAAGTGATGTTAGACTTTGAAACGATCTCCGATCCGGTGTCAAGTTATCCGATGCTCCACTGTCAATAATCCATCCCTTTGATTGGTTTGTAGAACCAGTTGTATTTGCAGTCAAGGCATGCTCAGAGACATAGGATGCCATAAGAGCTTGCTCGGGATCATCATTGTTGTTTGTGTTGACATTTCTGGACTGGAAGCGGGAAGAATTTCTGGTGTCGAAGTGATTTCGGGAATGTTGGCCATTCCTTCTTCTCTCAGCTCTTTGCCTCGTAAAGCAAGAAGCCTCCGTATGTCCTCTCCTGACACAGTAGTTGCAGATTGGGCCATCACTGCTGCTACCCATCCTTCTTCCATTGCTGGTACTAAATCTTCTTATTCCACTATTGCCACTACTCATCCGTCTTGCCGCACTTCTGAAGTTTCGATGAGAGTTCTGATTTCCGCGGAATGAAGGACGGTAACTTTCACTTCCACGTCCACAAGAAGATGGCATTGGACGAATATTGGCGGTGAGAGCAGTCGTTGTAGCTGAGGCAGTGTTTGATCCAGTAACATCGTCTTTTCGCTCTAGAATTGCCTGCTCCTTTTGCAGAATTGCTTCGATAAGATGATTGATGTCGAGGTTTTCCTGTGAAAGGATGCGGTCAAGTGTTGGAAGATACTCCTCAGGTAGACGAGAATTTAGAAGCGAGATAAAGGAGTTGGTAGAGATTTCCATGTCGGTACCGAGTAGACGTGACTGGATAGACTTCATAGCGGAGATGAGGGTACCAATACGAACACCTGGTTCAAGTCGAAGTGCGAAGAATTGTCATTGTAGAGTGGATTGTCCGATACGCGAGGCAGCCACATCGTACTTATTTTTCAGAGAGGTCCACATGGCAATGGGACAATCGAGACCACGGATATGCTGCTTGGCTTGTTGGGTGCAGGAGGTAAAGATCATTCCGAAGGCTCGATTGAGTTTGTTTCGGTATTCGGTATAGGCTGCTTGATCTTCTAAAGCTGGTGGATTTTGTGAACTGAAAATAACATCGTAGGTTTGATCAGCTCTCATGAAGGCCTTCAGATCCTCGCTCCAATGCTGGTAATTTTTCTCGTTTAGCTTTTCTGTTGTACCGAATTTGCAGTTGAAGGTTTCGTTTGGTGAAGTGCCAGAGACGAGTTCGGACAGTTTATTGGAGGTAGACATTGTGACAATAGTTTGGCTGAAGATTCTTGACGGATGGATGGTATTCGTGAAGAGACTTATCGTTGCGCAAAACCTGGGCTCTTAACCTGTTGGAAATTGTGGTTGAATTGATGAAGGTTTTACGGAACCGAAGCGAGTAAGTGCTCAAGGAGAGAAAAGTATTTTGCTTGTATACAGAGAGTGGAGTCAAGAGAAAGAAAAGAAGGTGGTAGGTTTGTTGACTGTGTTGAGTAGAGGAAAACAGCAAGCGAGGGACAGAAGGAATTGGGTGTGTTGGTTGGTCAGGTAAGAGAAGAAAAAATAACATGAGAAAACAAGTTTCAGGAAGCAACGCACAACAAGGACATGAAAGATGTGTAAGCACTTACATATGCACATGAGTGCTTATGGCTCGTATATAAAATCATGCTCATGTTTTCAACATTTAAGCCTGAAGCTGACATATCGTATCATACCAGAAGATACAATTCAATACACTACGGTAATGCGCGGCAAAATTACCTGGTTCTGCCAGCCAGATCAGTTCAGAAAAAAATACCGGATCTTAATAAAGGAGTCGGATAAATGGAGAATTTCCCTCCCAAATCCTGAGTTGGATACAAAAAGAAAATTCCAGTCTGGGCATTCTGAGCGCACAGTAGTTGGCTGTTGGAATTCTAGGTGGTAACATCGTGAGCCCAACGTAGCTCTCCCCCGGTAGCACCCTCTGCTACCAGATTCCTATCAGTAACTTTTCTATCCAACCATCCCCTAACCTCCAGGGGTTGGTGCCCTAAAATTCTCTCCTTTATATGAATGAAGCTCTGTTTTCCCACACTCTCTACACCAAACCGGCGACTCTGACTGTCGGGTAAGAGATTCCTCTTACCGAAAACCTCACAGGAGCGACTTACAGGAGCGCAAATTTTGAGAAATTGCCAGCGAGAGAACCTATCCGCAAAAAAATGGAGGCCCCTACCAAAAGGAGCGTGCTAATATTGATAATTTTCATAAGGCCTAGCGACATAGATATGACCCGACCCGACGGAAAGAACCTGCACAGCACGATCGGAACACTGCGATTGGGGGCAGGGTCAGCTTCTCCATTTTTTTCACCTTTCAACATTTTCCGCTTCAAATATATACATAACATCGTTTGACGATCATTTCCAGGTGCCACGTAGACCCTGGGGCGAAAAAGAAATTGCTCCAACCAGGCCTAAACTGATAGGGCGGACAACCGGGTTAGGCACCAAATCTAAGGTCAGAAATGCTGCATTCTGGGATTACACATTGGTGGTGTAATTTACGGTATGGCGCATATCAGTGGTGTAGGGCACTATATTGTATAGTTCTTGGCCAAAAGTCATCGTTGGTGGGCCTAAGTACCGCCCAAAACACACCAAAATCAATGGAGACTGGGGCTTGGGAAATCCTGATTTGCATCTTCACCTCTTAACCAATTAACTTTAAAATATATTCATAGCTAGCCAAAGAACTAGCGATTCTGAAATTCATATTTCTATAACAAATCCCTTTGTTCTGTGTGCAACACTCATCATCTAGAGTGACTGATTCAAGAACTGGAGATTAGCGCCAAGAATTTGTATGGCTCCCCACAGAAAAAGATACCTGTTTTTAAAATCACTAATTTCACACCGCTACAGTTCACACAATATTGCATCATATGTTTCAAGATTTTAATACTGTGAATTCAATATTCAGAATCATCATTTCCACAAGAATTGATTTAATTGCACAGCAAGTGGTGGAGTGTCAATGCTGTGGAAAACTGTACTTTTGGCGTAAAAGTGGCCATCAACGATGACATTTGTCACCTTACTGTACGTACGAACCAAATTCAAACGCTACCGGGTTAATCGAACTATAAAAAATTTGGCAAAATGGCAATGGGTGCACAATTCCGCCACTTTTCATGGTAGGAACGAGAGTGAGGAAGCAGATGTTTGATTTGGAAAACAAAGGAGCGCATGGCATCCCCGGGCACCCCCGGAACCCTTCCCACGATAAACCAACATTAGAATAGAAATGAGAAGGAAAAGGTTCTCGCAACGAAAGAAAGATCACCGAACCACACCAATTACTAAGTAGGGCCGGACGAAAGAGAGGTAGCCCGCCTTCCCTTTTGACTCCCGTTTCAATAATCTGATGCGAACCTTGACCGGCCACGGCGCCACCCCTAACAGTCTGATTGCAATACATTTATCCAAAAGCACCATAACCCCTACATTTCAACTTCTAAATTAGCCCCTTTGAACCTGAGAAACCCTTCAGAGAGCCCCTGCGAGCGCAGTATACTCCCTGCCACCTAACAGAATCCTCCGCTTCATACCCGAGTTCCTGAATATCCGCACTTCAACCTCCTACAAACCCCTAGAATCGGATCTTGAATCCAATAGGGCCAATCCTGATCCCTATCCCACCCCTATCCCTGTTCCTCCGGCTCCTCTCAAGATTCTCTCTATGTATAGCTTCCAACCGCCTTGCTTCAGCCGCAGCTTTTTCTTGCTCCTCGATTCTCAACCTTGCGTCTCTCTCCTGCTGCTCCCGGATCTGGGCAGCGTGAAGCTCTTCCAATCGCCTCGCCTCAGCTGCAGCTTTTTCTTGCGCCTCCCGCCTTGCCCTTGCTTCTCTCTCCTGCTGCTCCCGTATCTGGGCGGCATGAAGCGCTGCCAATCGGTTAGCCTCCGCTGCCGCTCTTTCTTGCTCTGCTTTTATCCTTCTCTCTTCCCTCTCCTGTTGCTTCCTTAACTCCTCAGCGTGCTGCTCTTCTTTCCTTCTCTTTTCAGCTTCAGCCTTTTCAAGTTTTGCCTGGGCTTCCCTTTGTTCCTCCTTCCTCCTCTCCTCTTCTCTCTGCTTTTCAATGTCTCTCTTCCTCATCTCTTCAGCATGCATCTCTGCCAACCGCCTCTTCTCAGCTGCAGCTTTTTCAAGCTTCTCCTGAGCCTTTGCTTGCTCCTCCGCAATCAACTCCTTCATTTGATCATCCTTTTCGTCTACGGCTGCCTGACGCTCTCTCTCCAGAGATTCAATTTCCTCTCTATACCTCTTCTCTTGTTCAATCAAGTCCTCGTTAATGCATTGACCTGCATCGGTCTCGATTATGGTCCTCTTTTGTGTGACTATCTGGTCCTGGATGTCCAGTGCCTCTGGCTGTTTTGGCACTAATTGGTCGATAAGTTTCAATCCGGACTCTCTAGTGCCATGAAACCTCTGAAGAGTAGCACCCTTCTCGAGAAGGATTCCCCAGAAATTGCGCTCCCCACAGAGATCCCTCTCCCGCATCTCCCCTTCTGCTTGATCAGTGACCTTGGACCACTGTGTCGTTGTGAGGAACACGTTTCTCAGAGCACTCCGACCGCACAATTTTTGGAACGTCCTGAGGTTCTTCACCGCGGAACTGTCCATGCGGACATCAGTAATTCGGTGGAGGTAGATAATCCCGGAGAGAAGCCGCTCCTCCTTGTAGGTTTTCGAGGTCCATTGGCAGATCTCGGCCAGCACCTCGGTATCGGTTCTGGTAGTATCATTGAACCCAGGAGTGTCCACCAGGGTAATCGTTGATCCCGCATGCTGAAAAGAGTAAGATTCGACCTGGCTGGTGCCTTTCTGGTGTCAGCAGACCAGCGCATCCCCCCGATCAGGGAATATCTTACAAGAGTTAAGCCCACTGCTCACTTTGACCTCCTGGTGACCAGAAACCTCTCTAACAAAGTAACTTTTGCCCGCGCCTACCATTTTTATTAGAAAATAAGCGCCCAATATGAGATGGCTTCTGTATTTTACCTGTAACTCCCATGACTGCGATCAAAACTTCTTTACCGGGCGGAACACTGGTCTCCATTGCAGCGGGGGCGTAGAAGACCACGTGGATGTGTCTGGGTAAGTTTTAGAAAAGATTTCTTGGTCAACTGCCACAGCTGGGGTAGTGTGAGTGGGTGTTGCGCTTGGAGATAGGCGCGCGCGGGTGAAGTAGGACTCCTGGTAAGTTTATCCGATCCTTTGGATACTGGGATTTGTTTGAGCGATAGTGTAGACAGCAGCAGAGCGCGGAAGTCCAGGGAATCTCGAGGAAATCGTAAGGTTCAGGAGAGTTAGTTTAGGAATGGGTCTTTAGAAGGCGGGGCGGACTTGGTCGTGGGAGCTCTCTTATACAATGCATTCGCGTTGTGGTGAAATGAGCGAGAAGAAGAAATAATTTGAAACCCCTATACCATCAGGAGCGGCCCTACCGTAAGTATCATACACGAGAAAAGTGTGCGCAGTCTAGCTTGCACAGCAGTGGTCAGAGTTTAGGCTTCTCCAGAAGCGGGTTGCCAAATCTGGGAAACCTATCATATCATACCGGGAGTCTTTAGCGAAGCTATGTTTCCGATAGTGATTTTGGAATAGATTCCGGCGAGGGGAATGCCTGATCAGTCAACAATAACGACATCACTATGGGTTGAAGTTTATGAGGGCATATAATTTCATAACAAGGTGTAATAATTGAAATAAATGGCGAGAAAGTGTAAAAAAATAAGAGAAATTGTAGCAAAATGAGAGTGAGAGAGCGCCAATAAGCACTAGTAAATTTGAGAAAGTGTAAGAATGTGAAAATCAGAGCCATCTCGAAACAAAAATACAATTTGATATATGGAAGATAGCGGGCAAATTTCCAACTTTGCAAGGGCTAATGCTTTCTTTGAGCTCTTCCCCACTTTTTCTTCTCTATTGTTCCTAAACTGGAGCGAGAGTTTCCCCGGCCTCGCAGCAATCGTCCCGCTAAACTAGCTCCCCTCAGTCATGCACCTTTTGTGTTCTTTTACAACATGGCAGTCTATGATTAAATTGCCATTCTGTTCGGTGAGCCTTATAGCTCTCGAATTTCTTCCAAGAGCCAACTGACCTATCTTGGGCTTGCGTAACCCACTCCCAAAACGTGCGCAGCGATCGAAGAGAACAAACAACTCTACCAAACAGCCGACCCATATGAGCCTGTGTCAATAGAAAACCCACCCCGGGGTAAAGTTGTGGTAAGCAGAAAAGTGCATAGCAACCAGAGTGACCCACAAAAAAAGTTTTAGAGATATTTAAGTTTTGTAACAACATAAACTTTAAACTACTACTCTTCACTCAAGAAAAACTCAAATATTTATTTGAATGCTATAAAATTTAGTTTGACACTTATGCTTCAATTCTATGAACTTAAAACTTTAAAAACAAACTAAATTACATAGTTTTCCTTGCTTTTTTGTTTTTAGACCCAGGTGGATGGCCTCTTCTCTTAGAAATATTAGTTAAACTCTCACCATCTATATTGGAAACAACCACTTCATCATTGGCCTTGTCTCCTATTTCTTTTAAAGTTGTATCAGTTGTTCCTAGGTGGGATATATTCACATTACCTGAATGCTTGCTTCTTCAAACTTTAACCAACTGAGCTTGTTGAATAGTATCAGGTAAGAGCTTTGTATATAGCCAGGTAGATTGGATATGCTCTGGAGAATAAGAGCTGTACTTACTCCACATATCAAACAGCTTTTCAGGCTTCAAACCAATTGGCTAAAGCTCTTTTGGTACCATAGTACAAATTTGTTCCAATGTTATCCTAGACTTAGTAAGATCAAATCTCTCCCACTCAGCTAGTAGAAGTATATTTATATGAAATATCATATGTACAGAAGCTAACTAAGTGAATACTTAATTAACTATTAAGCTAATACTTATTGCAAAACAATATCTTTTTTTACATTTTCACTCTAGTCCAATCTATACTACATCTATCATCATATATCGCTTGTATTATATAAGCAACATATATTGGTATAATACCATAGGCTAACCTCTCTAAGAGATTCCATACACCCTGGCCGATACGATGATAAGACAAATTCATCTGCATCCTGCCAGTACGGAACTGCCTAGTTGCGTCATGGGCACGCTCTCGGATCGTAGGATTATCAGAATGAGAGAAAATCGCCGTCAACATCACTCCACTATATCCCACCAATAGACTCCGAGGCAGTGCGGATGCGCAGGGGAATATGGTCTGACAAAATGGTTCTTTCAATTGAAACCCGTAGCGCTCCGTCAACAGATCAACTTTTCGATGTGTTCCACGTCACTCTATTTTCATTCCAAGAGGGGAAGAATATGACCGAGGTAGAGCTCTCAAGGGTGTGCCAGCGCAGACAAATTCAAGGTGAGTTAATGAGCTGGTTTATTAGCGTTCTTCGCACGATTTTTTGGTAGGACCTGATGTAGGGATCAGCTAACGAGGAGCCGATCTGAGCCTCTCCAATTCCACACCATGCATAAAGCTCCAGTAATTTTCGCCAGCGGACTCTACTTGTAGCATATTTTCGTAGACTTCCGGGGAGGCCGCCTTGAGATCCTCGTGGACAAATCCCGGCACTCAGAGTGGAGTGAGAACTTCCATGAGAAAAAGACCCACCCCCGTGATCCCTATTTCCTTGATTCCCACCAAACCCTCTAGGCTGGTCGGTGGTTAGTCTCGCAGCACAATTCGGTGACCACAACCTTCATTTATCCCAAGGAGGAGTAGCCTTCAATAATCGAAGCGATTCTCCTATCAGCTACAAGCGGGCATATCCTCGTCAAAGGGGTCTTCGACCACATCTTCCCATGAGGGGCGCAGGAGTAATAGGGGTGAAAGTAGACTAAATGCTTCTATCTATTGAGGGGCTTCTGGGAACCCAGACTTTAGAGTGTAGCACGGTGCGCACACCAAATTAAACTACTAGCAGTTCAACCCGCGTGATGGCTCTGCCATCGCCACATTCCCTTCCCACTCCCAGGAACCGTTGACTTATCCCTTTAGCCCTTGACTGTGGGGGGTTGTAGCAGTCTGGGTTTCCCGCCAGCGGCCCTGCCCAGCTAACAGCCAATGAGAGAGAAGGGATTTCCTCTGTTCGCCGGTTTGGGGGGGAGGGTTGGGGGATTGAACGCTTCCTAGTATGTGACTCACTTCGACGCATTAAGGCAGGTATTTCCCCCGCCAAAGGTGGATGTCACCCTAGCTACATGGATAGTCCTCTTTTTTGGCCGAGACTCCCCCGCGCACCACCAGCCGACTTCCCCTTTGCCCTAGATAATCACGGTAATGGACGCATCAATCTATTACTCCATGGTCATGGGACCGTGGGCGCCTCCATTGCTCCCAATGGCTGGGAACCTCACCTGTATTGTAAGAGGTATGACTTACGATAGTGTCTATATGCCACAACGGAAAGGGCATGCTAGCAAGAGCAATTGGGAAGGGGCCTGTAACACCATGGCTTGACCGTCAGCAGTATCGTTGGTAAGGTATTTAGGGATAGAAGCACCTCCAGATGTGTTGCTAGGTGGAGATAACGATCACGAGTGTGAGATGATAAGAAACCGGTGGGCTGTCGTTTCTATAGGGTGTTCATTGTGTCTACGTTACGTCAGTTAATGTCTCAAATCCAATGCATGTTTCTTTTGCTAGCCAGTGATTTAGCTCAAGGAGATTATTGCAGTCACTAATGGATGCCATTCATGAGTTGAACCCAATCATCGCAATGGCACACTTGAGAGTAGACAAACCCCAAATCACCAGCCAATATTATTACGAACCCAACCTCTCGATCTTTTCATGTTATGATATCATAACATAAAACACTCGTTCCTTCTAGGGTAGGAAATGCGCATTCAATAAAAGGAGCAAAAAAAAAGAACCCATCATAATATTCTTATAATGAACCCCATCGCATTGACCCCACCCCTATTCCAGCCAAAGTAAGGAATAAAAATTAGATACATCCACAAGTCTCCGGAATGAACAAACAAAAATAGTCATCAATATAAATAATAGAGAGAAAGTGGGAAAAGGCTCAAAAAAAATCGCACCACATACACCATTCGGGCTAGTAATACCCTCCTCGCCCCCTGATTCCCTTGAGCGCTCTGATTGTAATACACCTGACCTATAACCAGCACCCTGGCGACACCTCAATCCTAAAATCAAGCAACCCCAATGAGAAAATCTCTAGAGTGTCCTTGTGCCGGCAGCATGTTCCTTTGTCCCCTTTGATTTCTCTCTCCGTTATTCCCCAGTACCTAAATCTCGGTAATGCAATCCTCCCATAAAGCACTAGAAATCTATCCCAAATCCAACAGGGCCAATGTTAAAGCCTATCCCACGCTTCTTTTCCTTCCTCCTGATCTCCTCAAGTAGGCTTTGATTCATAGATTGCAACCGACCTCGCTCAGCTGCCGCCGTTGCTTGCTCTTCACTCCTTATCCTCGCTTCTCTCTCTTGCTGCTCCCTCATCTGGGCTGCATGAAGCTCTGTCGTCAACTTCAGATCAGCTGTAGATTTTTCTTGCTCCTCACTCCTTATCCTGGCCTCCCTCTCCTGCTGCTCCCGTATCTGGACAGCGTGAAGCTCTTCCAATCGCCTCGCCTCAGCTGCAGCTCTTTCCCGCTCTTCTCTTATCCTTCTCTCTTCCCTCTCCTCTTGCTTCCTTAATTCCTCAGCGTGCTGCTCTTCTTTCCTTCTCTTTTCAGCTTCAGCCTTTTCAAGTTTTTCCTGGGTTTCCCTCTGTTCCTCCTTCCTCCTCTCCTCATCTCTCTGCTTTTCAATGTCCCTCCTCCTCATCTCTTCGGCATGCATCTCTTCCAACCGTCTTTTCTCATCTACAGCTTTTTCAAGCTTCTTCTGAGCCCTTGCCCGCTCTTCCGCAATCAACTCCCTCATTTCCTCGTCCTTTTCTTTTATGGCTGCCTGACACTCTCGTTCAAGGGATTCTATTTCTTCCTTGTATTTCTTCTCTTGCGCAATCAATTCCGCGTTAATGAATTGCCCCGCATCAGTCTCAACTATCGTCCTCTTTTGTGTGACTATCTGATCCTGGATATCCAGTGCTTCCGGTTGATTCGACATCAACTGGTCGATGAGCTTCAATCCGGATTCTCTAGTGCCATGAAATCTCTGAAGAGTAGCGCCCCTTTCTATAAGAAGCCCCCAGAAATTACGTTCTTCGCAGAGAGCCCGTTCCCGAATCTCCCCTTCTGCTTGATCCGTGACCTTTGACCACTGTGTTGTTGTGAGGAATACATTCCTGAGGGCACCGCGACCGCACAATTTCTGGAACATCCTGAGGTTCTTCACGGAGGAACCGTCCATGCGGACGTTAGTGACGCTGTGTAGGTAGATAATGCCGGAGAGAAGTCGGTTTTCCTTGAAGGTTTCCGAGGTCCAATCACAAATCTCGGTCAGCACCTCGCTATCGGTTCTTGTAGTATCATTGAAGCCAGGAGTATCGACTAGGGTGACCTTTGCGCCCGCGTGCTCAAAAGAGTAAGATCCGACCTTGCTAGTACCTTACCGACGTCAGCTAACGAGCCCACCCTCAATGCCCGGGAATAACTTACAAGAGTGAAGCCCACTGCTCACTTCGACCCCAGAGTTACCGGTTACTTCCCGGATAAAGTAACTTTTACCAGCGCCTACAAAATTTCAGTAAATAATAAAGTTTGAATCCCTTGGTTTTTACCTGTAACTCCCATGACTGCTATCAAGATTTCCTTACCCGGCCCAGCACTGGTTGGCATTGCGGCGGGCGGCTGAGCTAAAATCGGGGGTGTACCCTGTGGATTAATAGGATTTTGTGCAGCCTAGCCAGAAACTAGTGGGTTACTTGGTGCCAGTATGCCCATCCTCGGCGACAGGGCGTTAGGGATAGGCCCTTGGGTAACCGGGACTGAAATACTTGATTGAGAGGGTTGTGGGCCAAAGCCTCTTGCGGGTGGCGTAGACCTCCGGTAAGCTGATCTGACTATTTAGATATTAGGACCTGGTGAGGGAATATAGGTGGATAGTATAATAGCAAAGTCTAGTTGTCGGTGGAAATATGAGGGCACAGTTAAGCCGGATTGCGAATAGATATTCTAGAGGAATGAGTGGGTGCTCGGATGGGAATTCCAGTGATATATCGGGATCGCTTTGCCCCAAGCTATCATACCTTAGAAGAAGTAAGTCGGAAGTTTTATACCCCCAGGAGCGGCCCTGCGGTTGTCACGTGTGAAAAGAGTGCGCAGTCCAGTTTTCACAGGAGGGGTCAGCGTTCCGGCTTCACCACACCCTAATTGCAGAATCCGGGAAGTGAAGCGGGTCTTTTCTATAGATATGATCTCTCCAGAAATTGTTCTACGGTGGGTAAAGGTTTATCTAATGAATCAGCGAAACACAAAACCTTCACGGATTGAAATTCTACCAAAACTCATGATCGTACTATACAAAGATGAGAAAGAGATCGCAGGAAATCGAAGGGCAGAGTAAGAAAGACCATAGAAACCAGGACCCCCTCGAAACGAAAATGCAACAAGATATGCGCACGATCGGAATCAAATTCCACTGCCCCTCCAAATTCCTCTGCGTTTCTCGTCTTACCACGCTTGCATAGTCTGGTAGTCTCTATTCGTCGGAAAATCTCGTTTTCACTCCTGCATCTTCTGTATCGCTTTTACAATCCAACGGTCTGTTACTGTATCGCCGCTCAGTTTTTCAGTAAGGCCCCTTCACCCCTATGTCAGGAGTCCTACGCCTGACCAATAGAGGCAAAGTTTGTGTAACCCAATACAGCACGCGCAGCCAGTAAAGACGATAGTAAGTTCTACAAAACAACACACATATATGTGTGCTCGTAGCCTATAAGCGAGCCCCCTTCATCCGATGTCTCTAGTATAGGCTAGCCTATAGGAGGGAGCTCCCACACAGGCCGTCCGATACTACAACCAGAAAAAACCGCTCTGCAGGTCGCCCCATCCCCTACAGGATTTCCTTGTTGCAGTCATATAAAGCACTCGGATACATATATTGTAATAATGAGTGGAAATAAATCCTGTCCACACCCGGATAACAGGGTTTCTGCATAAGCATTCCCAATGAGTGATCGCCCCTGATACGCAGCTGGGCCGATTTGGTTCTAAAGTGAAGAAATTCTGTGAAAGGAGTATCATATCTCGAGTATTTTGACGACTCCGAGACAGCGGTCATAAATTGTCTCCCCCATCCGAGTGCCGCATTTTTATCCCCAGACAGTGAGTCCTATCATACGACCTTGAGTGGTGCTATTAGAGCGCAGCAGGCGAAGAAAAGCTGGCTTCGGTTGAAGTCCGAAGCACTCCGTCAAGATATCAACTTTCCGCTAAAGCCCCATATTTATTTGCCTTCATTCCCCCGGAATAATAATACGGCGGAGGGGAAACTGGTAAAAGTCCACGAAGGCAGATATGTTCAAGGGAGGGTTGATAAGTGGGTCCGCTTACGTTCATCGTACAATGGCTGGCAACACTAGTCGCGGGATGTCACATGGCGAGGAAATTTTGTCGCCCACAAATCATGCCTGAAGAGAGTTTGCAAAACAAGATCTGTAACTCCTCCGTGCTAGATAGCACCATTTGGAAAAAGAAAAAGACCCCAGCATGACAGGGTCAAAGCAAGCATAGCAAGTTTAGGAAAATGGATTATGATACTTGGATTTAGATCAGGACTTAATAATTAGATAATAAGATAGGGATTTATGGAAGACTCTTTTACAAAATACTATCCCTAGAAACTATATGCCCTATCCTCCAAACTCTCAAAGCATGGATTATAGGCTATGTCTACAAAACAACCCAGTAATTATCTGGCGTTTTCAGCAGTACCCGGGAATCGGAGCCAGTGTTCATCGGCTCCTTCAGCTCAACAGGAAGAACCAATAGGAATATTAAAGGAGAAAAATTCTAAAAGTAGTACAAATGCTCAAGGAGTGCTCTTAGAGGTTTTGATTCCTTTTTTTTTCCACCCACTCTCTGCCCAAGATAGGCACAGGCCCTGAGAAGCAGCCCCGCTATTTGTGTTGCCAAGCCATTTACCCGATTACAGGATCCCTTTGAAAATGGCAAGTACTATACAGTGCAAGTGCCCCGGTAAAAGTCATCGTCACTTGCGTTCTTTACACCAAAAGTAGCTATTTTCTCAGCAGAGCGACTAATTAATGCCCATCTCAATTAATAGACATATCAGTTCTATTGAACAACAGGAGATGTAGTGGTAGTGGAAGGCTGGGCGTGGCAGGAAACGAAAACGAGACCTTTTGGTGGAGAGAGATGAGAGTGGAGATGTATTAGTCTTTGTATGTTCTATCATAGCTACGAGAAAACATGCTTATATAGATATCCCTTCAGAGCCCTAGTTCCCTAATCCATATCCCATTCAACCACTTTAAACATCTACTCTAACCATATACTTCATCATTTGTAGGAGACTACACCAGTCTAACAACCACCATGCTCAAGACCAAACTTATGCTCATATGACATCAGCTGGTTAGTCACAATAGACTTGTAAGAGCGTCAACTATTACAACAAGTTCAGCGTTAAGGTAGTGATACGAACATTACAATACCTAAATTTTGGTTGAATTAGACTCTCTTACACTGTTGTTTGGCCTATGAAAATTAGATATAGGGGCCCTATGAGGTCCGACCATAAGCACGAGGATTTCGACACCCCGAGATTCACTTACTTACCCATGCAAGGATCAATTCACGGTTAATCTTTTACTGCTAAGGGGATATTCACTAAATTCCCGAGTTCCAGAACACTCGCCACTGCATTTTGGCAATAATTGGTCTCCAGGACCTCAAAACCCGGCGGACTCAATTGATGTCAAACTCCGCCGATTTTGGTGAGTTTTCACCAGCGCTTTGCCCGACCGACGATGAGCTATGCCCAGGAATTATGCAATCGACGATTCGAGAGCCCAACCACATCATGCCAGACAGCCCCTTAATGGGCTAGTGCATGAGCCTTTTTAATCCCATACGCTCCAAAATTCATATTATTTCCGTATATTTCACCTGCGGAATGTATCCGTAGAGGATTTTTGTAGACTTCCGGTGATGAATATTGAGATTCTCATAGGTGGATCTTATCATATGAGAATCGGAGCCACTGTGGCGGGAGTATGGCTTCGCCTGACTTTTTCCCGTCTTCAGGTAAAGAGCCAAGATTCTCCCTGGGTCCACTTGCGCTCATCAAATTTGGGCCGGTAAAATTGAAACCGTCTCACTTACACCAACGCGCTAGTGCTCAAATTGGCCTCTTGGCGCCCAATTGCCCACAATATATCACTCGGAAGTTGGAGTGCTCCCGTGTTGAAAACATGAGAATGATTTCATATAATATTATGAGCCATAAGCATTCATGTGCATATGTAAGTGCTTACACATCTTTCATATCCTTGTTGTGCATTGCTCCCTGAAGTTTGTTTTCTCCTGTTCTTTTTCTTCTCTTACCTGACCAACCAACACACCCAATTCCTCCTGTTCCTCGCTTGCTGTTTTTCCTCCACTCTGCACAGTCAACAAACCTACCTCCTTTTCTATCTCTTGACTCCACTCTCTGTATACAAGAAAAATACTTTTTTCTCTCTTTGCGCATTCACTTCCTTCGGTTCCATAAAACCTTCGTCAAGTCAACCGCAATCTCCAACATCCCGGGTTGGCAGGTGGATTTCTTTGTATCTCCAAACGCTTGGTACAGACACTTACCCCAGCCGCTGTCGATGCTCTGATTGACTAGGCCAAGCGGATTTTATGGCCGTCACTATTCTTCCTGTCCGTTCTCTTAATGGCTCGAATATATTTGCCCAGAGTTTTGTTGATGGCAACCAAGAAAATACTCGGATGCCGAAAGCGGAACGGCGCTTCTACTGTATTTCGAGACCACCAATAGCGAGTCCCGGCTCCCGCTTTTAGCTCATCTCTCTATAACTGAACGGCTCAGCTTCCGATAAGGCTATCATCCGTCAATCTACTACTTTCACTCCCACCCCCCAGTACACGGTATATTTGCCGTTCCAGTGATGGATCTACGGAATCACCCAACCAAGCGAAGGGAAGACAAAAGGGAAACTCATTTCCTAATCCCAGATTTTCTCTCAAACCCCACTTGCGGGCTCAGTGAGCGCACCCCCCACTGTAATAACACTGCCAAACCTGCCCAAATTGCAATTAACTGAACCTAGGATTATCAGCGGTAACCAAATTCTAGTATTGATGGTGCAGTTCAAGAATCGCACATAGAGTATATCACTAAGGAGGTGGATTTCTGGGGCAGAGCTTCCCATGAGAGCCTTTAAAACAAACCGCTTCGAGCCTCACTTTATTTGGAAAGCCTGTCATATATCCTCATGGCGCCAGCCCTAATAATTCACTGCCTATCCCATATCCGGGACCGTATGGTCGACCTTTTAACACACTTCCTTAAAAATTACCCGGTACTATTCTAGTCAGTCTGGCTGTTCCCAGCACCACAACCGCGGGAATCTTAAAGGGCTCTAAATAAGCGCTTCAGCTGGGAGGGTTAAAATCAAAGGGAATTCAGATTAATACATGATACTTATGGGACGAACTAGTGGGGTGTGCAGTACGGCATGAAACCTGAACTCAAATCATGATTTGAGCTCGGGTTCACGATTTCAAATAAGGTGGCGTTTGGTGCTCCCCTTTGACACTTCTGATTTGAGATCTAGTCCTAATTTAGACCCAGAAACCCAATCTAGGGCTTAACAAGATAATATGTTTCATGGATATAAAAGTTTAGGAGGGTAGGGTGTATGGAGCTCAAAACATAACATGCTTCCCTCACCATACAAATTTTTTTTTCTACAAATTCTATGACAGTTTCGTATTCCAGATTGAGGATAGGAAGCTATCTTTGAAAAAAAAAAAATTTACCCAAGAAATAAAATGCATCCGGAAGATCGTATTATTTACCACTTGATTAGAATTCAGTCATAATAGTTTTATCCCAAGTTTCTGTGAATTTAGTCCTAATCCGGTCCCAGCCCATACAAGCCATCCAAATCAGAACAAACTCGAGACCAAGTCGGGAGCGTTTAGCAGGACCTGACTTCAACTACCATACTAATCCCAAATCAGAGAAAATAGTACGCCAAACGCGCCCTTAC